GGTGAAGAGAGGAAAAAGAACAGATAAATTCAGACAGAATTGCATTAAGGTCATAGCAGAAAAGAGACCTAAATTCTGAGTTCTCTTATGCTGTCTATTGGAGTTCAGATCCAGTGCTTGACCTTACTAGGGCCTGCAAGTGTATGCATTTGAGAAGTTGCTATTTCATGAAAATGTGTATATAGAAAAATATTGATGCATACTTATAGGAAAAAAATATTTTGCAGTGGCATGATATTTTACTTAACTAAGTTACATTCAAGAAATTCAGATATATTTTTAAATGCCACACCAAATTTAAACAACCTAAATGCTCACGGAAGCCCATTACAAATAATTTCAAGTCAAATATGCAGGGTGAAATCTGCCTCTGAAACAAATCTTTTTCCTTCCCATTGGAAGTTTTCTCTAGAAGAAATAATGTCAATAGTATTTTGATCAGTTATCAGTTGTGGGGAATAAAACTCACTCTAGTTAGTTTAAGAGAAAGAGGTTCATCACAGAGTATTAAATGGCTCACAGATTCTAGGCTGAGCTTTTAGAAATGGTTCCCAAAGCCACACTGGCTGTCAAGGGATTATGCCTTTGCCACAAACAGGAAGATGTTGTTTCAGAAGGATAACATCACAGCTGTCAGTTCTAGATCCTCTGCTTTGAGCAGAAAATAGCCTACCAAGTTAGAAAATCTCTGCTACAGCTGTCCTAGACTGTACCACTGCAGTTCTAAGCCACAGCAGCAAAAATGGATGCCAAAGCTAGCTTTAACATTTGATGGTAGGATCTTACATTTAGAATCCTAGGTACAAGGAATTGGGAACTAATTTTTAGCTTTCTAGCCTATCAGAGGGGGCTAGACGGCATGCTGAGTGACCAGTGTCTACTAGAAGTATCTGACATTTGTCAAGAACTTATATGTGAGTCACGATAATTACCTCTTTATAGGAAGCATCTCATTTAAGTCTTTACCCAATTTGTTAGGGCCTATTTGTGAGGTCTTATTATCATAGATGAAGAATCTGTTGCTAAAAAAAAGTTATTTGCCCAAGGTCAGGTCACAGAACAAGAATGTGGTGAAACTGGGATTTGAACTTAAATATGTTTGACTCTGAAGTCTGAAATCTGATCTCTTAACAATTATGCTCTACTCTGCGTCTCCTAGTTTATTTTCCCTCTTTCTCCTAATGTAAAAGAAACATTTGAGAATGATCAAGACACTGTGCTAAGATCCTACCTAAGCCTTATAATTAAAAATAGCATTCGTCTATTGGAGATAAAATATATACACAAATAATAGAAGGTAGGAAATAACGACATAAAAAAGTTTGGGTAAAGTGTTTTGGAATTAGTTGTGGGAGAGATTTACTCTCTGAGAGAATTCAGGAAGAAGTCTAATTTAAACTAGACTTTGAAGGGTATATGGTTTTTGAACATTCAGAAAAGGAATAAGGAGGAATTCATAGTCATGGAAGTAGGAAATCTTAAGGCATGTGTGGGCCAATTGCTATTCCAGTTTGGTTAGATTGAATGACAAGTAAAATGGAGGTGGAAAGGCCTTGAATGCCTAACTAAGGCATGTGTGCTTCCTTTTTTATGTGGTCGGGAGCCCTGAAGTATCTTGAGCAGAGGGGTCACATGAGAGCTCTGCGGTACGAAGGTAACACTAGCATCTTTTGGTTGATCTGGAGTTGGAGGACTAAAGATCAAAATGAGATTGGAGTCTGATGTGGGAATGAGAAGATCTGGGTGTAAGGATTATAGTAAGGATTGCTGCACTCAGTAGTTCGTTCTTTCTTTGTTTATTTTTATTTTATTTTGTTTTAGCAGGATTTGTTGAGAGGACAGAAAACTCCCACAGTGGGAGGGGACTTGAGGGGTTGCCTCTTTGTTTTTTTTGAGTTGGGGTCTCACTCTGTCGCCTAGGCTGGAGTACAGCGGCACAATCATAGCTCACTGCAGCTTCCAACTCCTGGGCTCAAGCGATACTCCTGTCTCGGCCTGTTAAATAGCTGGTACTACAGGTGTGTGCCATCTCGCCCGGCTAATTTTTTATTTTTTGTAGAAATGGAGTCTCGCTTTGTTGCCCAAGCTGGTTTTGAATTCCTGGGCTCAAGTGATCCTCCCACCTCAGCCTGAGCCACCACACCTGGCCAATAGTTCTTAATAACTAATTGGATATCCCCAGCAAGGAAGAGGGAAGAGATTATTCTGAGGTTTCCGTCCTGGGTTATGAGAAAGATGGTTCTGTTGATCAAAATGCACGGGGAAAAGAAGAGTATATTTACGTGGGTAAGTAAGGAGTTCAACTTTGGATTTTTCAAGTGAAAATACTGTGTGATCCAAGAGAAATGTCCAACAAACTTGGAAATGTGGAACAAGAGGTCAGAAGAGAAGTCAGAGCTAGAAGCATAGATTTTAAAAATATCTACATTATAGCAGCAGTTCTAAATCTAATTGTACAGTAGTTGCACCTGGAGAGCTTTAAAAAATACATGCTCTGGACCCCGGAGATTCTGCTTTAATTGGTAAGTCTAAACATTTTGATTTAATTTGTCTGGACAGTGATGCTGATTTAATTAGCGTAAGGTAGGGCACTGGCATTTGTATAGTTTGTAAAACTCCCCAGATGATTCTAATGTGCAATGAGGTTTGATAACTACTGACAGAAGTAATTCATGACTCATGGGGTTGGTAAGATTTGAAAAGGAGAGGGTAAAAAGATAAAAGAAAGTTAATGATAGAGTTTTTTGTTGTTGTTTGCATCTGTGTTCAAGGAGTCAGACAACAGGCAGTCAAAAAGGCAGATAGAAAATAAGGAAAAAAACCAGAGGGTTGAGGGAAGTAAAGAGTAAGGAATGAGTGATACCATGTGCTGCTTCTTGGAGCAGAGACCTCCAAGAGAGAAGGCTTAATAGAGGCAGGGGAATAGTGCTGAAGGACATGCTATAATTTGCTTTGTACATGCTTGCCCACTGTCCTCTCCTGCTTAAGTTACAAAGATGTAATTAAAAGGATGGGGCTCTAGATTGGGAAAGTGGTTAGAGAGGCAGGTTTACTAAGGAAAGCCTTGAGTAAAATGATGAGAGGGCTTAGTTGAAGTTCAGTTTTGGAGTTCAGGATCTTAAGAATATAGCAATTCTGGGTGATGACAAACTTTTGGGTAGAATCCTGAGATAGGAGTGCTGCAGGGAAGAAGGGGTCGAGTTTGTTGCAGGAGTCTAGGTCAGACAACTGCGCAGTTATGATTAAGCGTATCTTCACATGTATGATTAAATCAGCTGCAGGACTTAGGGTATGAAGGAGGATCCTGAGCCAGATGCCTGAAGTCTTTTTCATTATTATTATTACTATTACTATTATTTAAGACAAAGTATTGCTCTGTTGCCCAGGTTGGAGACCAGTGGTGTGATCACAGTTCACTGCAGCCTCAAGCACCTGGGCTCAAACAGTCTTCCCACTTCAGCCTCCCAAGTAGCTGGGACTACAGGTGCATGACACTACACCCAACTTTTTTTTTTTTTTGGTAGAGACGGGGGAGGTCTCAGTATATTGACCAGGCTGGTCTTGAACTCCTGGTCCTTTGCCTTTTCAAAATGTATTTATTCATTCATTTTTTTTTTTAATCATTGTGTTTTTGTACAAAAAGTGGTGTTTTTTTCATTTTATAACACCAGGGTGTGGGGGAGGGATGCAAATAGATAACAAAAAAGATGCTTTTGCAACATCATTTTCCCTGTTTAGAAAAAAATCATTCCAATAGTACTGAAAAGTCCAAAGGCGATATAATTTCTCCTCCAAAGGCTTACAAAAAAGGCCCCCTGTCTATTGATTCCATCCCTCTTTTGTGTTCAGTGGAGCCATGTTATCTTTAGTAGCCCAGGGGTTTACTGTTACTGAAAGATCAGCCCAGATTTCTGGGCACATGGCCTAAACAGAAAGATGGAAGCATCAGAGGATTAAAAACCTTTCCCCGCAGAAATGTGGGCAAGAAGACACTTCCCTGAGCCAGCAGAAGGGACAGGTGCAGCAGCTTTCCACACCCAGGGAGGACAGCAGAACCCTAAATGTCCCACTTCTGCTTCCATTCCTTTTCCAGAAGATTAAAAAAAGTCAAAACCACATGCCTGTGAAGAAAGTGCAACATATGTTTAGAAATATGGTAGAGAGAAACAGCAAGAGGCAAAGCTTTGCCAGCTATTATTATAGATGGGAGAAGAAAACCATCATGGTCCTACCACAAGGTAAACAGACTTCCCTTTTCTGGAATTCCAGTAGCGCAGGAGTTCAATTTCAGCTTTTCATTCCAACGGATTCGATTTCTGGATTAGGCATTTTGACTATATGCACACTGGTAACTGCAGAACCACAATCCATGGCTCAATTTCAGCTATAAAGTCACCCCAATGCCAACAGGTGATGTGATGGGAAATTTCACCTCTTTCTACCCTAATCCCAGAGGTGGGAGAAGCAAGTCTAGAACATTTCCAGGCTCCTATCAAAGGGGAGTACTTGAATTGCAACCAAGTAGCCACTGCAAAGTAATTCCAAGCAGCAAGAAAATCAGATCCTCATGAAGGCTACTGTAGGGTACAGAGTAACAACATGAAAGCAATCAAATCTGTATAAATAATGTTTCTTTGCTGTTTTTTGTTAATTAAAGAAGTCCAGTGTCTCAAAAACTTGTGGAAATGTGTTTAAAAAGGTGCCAAGGAGCCTACCACATCCTTTTTTGCCCACTATCCCTATTTTACTTGTATCTTCTGATACTAAGAGACAGTACAACAGTCTGTTTTCACAAGCCCTTTTACATTACCTCTGACATAACAACCATACCTGAAGACAGTTCCTACTAATGAGAAGAGGATGCAAATCATAAGCAAACTGGAAAGCAAGAGCAATATTAGGGGTGAGATGAGAAACTGGAGTTGAGACTGCTTGAGAAATATGGCTGAGTAGGCTTTGGTTTGGGGGACTGAAGACGAGGCCAGACATTAAAAGTGCAATCACATTGGCAATAAATGGTCATCCCTCTCTTCTGACTCCCCCCCCCCCCAGCTGATCACCTCCCACACCACGATAGGCTGCAGGCACATTTCAGGGTTTAGAGCGGCACACAAAGTCGCAACCATCTGCTACCAGGTTGCCAAGATCTTACCGGAAGGCTAAGTGGGGAAACTGCTCCATTCCCTTGGCTCCTACCACCAGTCGCTGGTACAGAAACCCTCCAATGACATAGACAGCAACCAGTGATGCAAACGTGACAAGTAAGATAGAACCCACACTGAGGTGGGAGATCTCTGGGGAACAGCCCAGGCTGCTATCCATCTCAAAGAGGTAGAAACAATCTTGGACTTTGCCACGCTCCTCTGACACAGGGTTAAAATTGCCTTCCATTGAAGACATGAGTCTCGTTGAGCCTCCCTACCACTGTCTCCTTCCAATTACTTTTGTTGATCTGCACCAGGCCTGCCCCAGAGGTTTGGTTACCAGCTTCCCGGCACACCCTGAATATGTAGATGTCTGTGTCTGAGCCCTGGCCCACGGTGCTCTTTGCAAAGCTTCTGTGAAACAGTGGTTTCAGCCTATTCACTAGGGCCAACTCTTTCTCGGACTCTTTACCCTTATCTCCTACCAGGTCACAAGTTTTTTCTTCTGTCTGCCAGGATTCCCTCACGGCCACAGCCAGGAGTAACAGCAGCAGCAGTCCAGTTCTCCACCTGCTGTAGAAGGGGAGCATCGTGTCGCGGGCACGTGGAGCAGCCACAGCTCAGAATCCCCCGGCGAGTGTCGGGCTGGGGCTGGGAGATCCGGCCAGCTAGGGGCCACCCGCAGACCCCGGTCGGAGGCCAGCGTTCCCCCTGGCGCCTGGCTGTGCCCCACTCCGGGAACCGGAAGCAGGAAGCGCCCTATTTATTCATTTCTATTGTACATATTTATGCAGTACAACTTGATGTTTCGACATATATCTGCATAATGAGCCCATCAGGATAGTGTATCCATCACTTCACGCATTTCTTGTGGTGAGAACATTCAGATGCCGCTCTTCTAGCTATTTTGTGATATACAATATTTGGCTGTTAACCATAGTCACCCAACAGTGCAATAGAACAGATATAGGTCAGTGGTTACCAGGGACTGGGGTAGAATTCCAGAGAATTTATTCCTTAAGGATATAATTGTAACTTTGTACCTGTTGACCAACCTTTCCCCATCCTGCCCTTTCCTATCCTACTCCCTGTCCATCTCCAGTCTCTGGTAGCCACTGACCTATATCTGCTTCTGTATCAACTTTTAAAAATTATTTATTTTTTTAGAGTCCATATGTAAGTGAGGTCATGTGGCGTTTATTTTTCTGTATCTGGCTTATTTCATGTAACACAATGTTCTCCAGATTTATCCATGTTGTTGCAAATGAAAGGATTTCATTCTTTTTTATGGCTGACTCATATTCCATTGTGTATATGTATACCACATTTTATTCACTTGGTTTTGGACACTTGGTTGATTTTATATCTCAGCTGTTGTTAATAGTGCTGCAGCAAACATGGGTGTGCATATATCTCTTTGTCATACTGATTTCATTTCCTTTGGATATATACCTAGTAATGGAATTACTGGACCAGATGGCAGTGCTATTTTAAATTTCTTTGGAAAACCTCCATACTGTTTTCTATAGTGGCTGTACTAGTTTATATTCTCAACAACAGAGTATAAGTGTTCTTTTTTCTCCACATCCTCACCAACACTTTTGTCTTTTTGGTAATAGCCATTCTAAATGGAGTAGAATTGTATTTAACTGTAGTTTTGATTTGCATTTCTCTGATGATTAGTGATAATGAGCATTTAAAAAAATATACCTGTTGGTTGTTTTTTGTGTTCTTTTGAAAAATATCTTTTCAGATCCTTTGTTAAATTTAAAATTGGATTTTTTTTTCTATTTAGTTGTTTAGGTTTCTGGATAGTAATGACTTGTCAGATGTACAGTTTGCAAATATTTTCTCCTATTCTGTAAGTTGTCTCTTCACTTCGTTTATTGTTTCTTTTTCTGAGCAGAAACTTTTTAGCTTGATGTGATCTCATTTGTCTATTTTTGCTTTGGTTGCCTGTGCTTTTGAGGTATTACTCAAGAAATCTTTGCCCAGCCCCATGTTGTGAAGTGTTCTCCCTACATTTTCTTCTATTAATTTCATAGTTTCAGGTTTTATATTTATGTCTTTAACCCATTTTGATTTTATTTTCTGTATATGGATAGAGAGTCTCATTTGTTTGTATGTGGTTATTCAATTTTCCTGCATCATTCATCAAAGAGATTGTCTTTCCCCTAATGTGTGTTCTTGTTACCTTTGTCAAAAATCTGTTGATAGTAGGTGTATTAAATTAGTTTTGGGCTCTTTGTTCTATTGGTCTATATGTCTGTCTTTATTCACAATTTAATCTTGGTATGTTTCAAGTGTTCAGGAATTTATCACTTCTGTTATCAAATTTGTTGGCATACGGTTGTTCATAAGAGTCTCTTAAGATCCTTTGTGTTTCTGGGCTATCACAATGTCTGATTTGGTGGTGCTTGCCTGTGGTTCCAGTTACTTGGAAGGCTGTTATTTGATATCCAGGCATGGTGGCTCATGCCTGTAACCCAGCATGAGTTACAGGCATGGGAGGTGGAGGCAAGAGGATTGCCTGAGCCCAGGGGTTCAAGACCAACCTGGGTAACTTGGTGAGACCTCAGTATCTGATTTTACTTATCTTCCTTCTAATAACTGATTTCACCTATCTTCTCTCTTTTTCTTTTTAAATTTTTATTTTTCAAAAGACACATGGTCTTGTTATGTTGCCCAGGCTGATTTTGAACTCCTGGCCTCAAGTGATCCTTTTGCCTGGGCCTCCCAAAATTCAGGGATTACAGGCATGAGCCACTGAATCTGGCTCTCTCCTTCTTTCTTCATCTAGTTAAAGGTTTGTCGATTTTGTCTTTAAAACAACAACAATAACAAAAACTGTTTTGTTGCTTTTTTGAATTGTTTTTATAAAGTCGCTATTTTGTTTATTTCTGCTCTGAGCTTTATTATTTCCTCTCTTTTGCCAATTTTGGGTTTAGTTTATTCTCATTTTTCTAGTTCCTTGGAGGTACATCATTATGTTGTCATTCGAAATCTTTCAAACTTTGGCCCCCTCCCCTACCTTGGGGCGGTGACTCTCCTCTCTCTCTAATTTACTTTCTAAATAAACTATGTTTTCCAATCTAAAAACAAGAGAAATCTTTCTTCCTTTTGATGTATCACTATACACTTGCTTCTTAGAATGGCTTTTGCTGTATCCCACAGGTTTTGGTATGATATATTCCCATTCTCCTTCATCTCAAATAAATTTAAATTTTTCATTTTGTTATTCATTGACCCATTCATTGTTTAGAAGGGTTTTGTTTAATTTCCACTTATTTGTAAAGTTTCCACAGTTTTTCATGTTGATTTCTAGTTTTGTACCATTGTTATCAGAAAAGATACTTGATATGATCGCTATTATTAAATTTTGGGAGACTGTTTTGTGGCCCAACATGTAATCTATCCTTGAGAATGTTTCATGTGCCGTTCCAAATATCTTTATTCCTATTAATCATATTCAAAATAGAAAGAGAACTGAAATTCTTATAATATTCTTGCAAATGATGTCATTATTACTTTATATATATAGATAAGCAAACTTTTAATAAAAAAACGAAAGACCAACATTGTGTACATTATTAAGTTTTTAAGCCCGTCCATACTTGGCCCCGTGACGCCAGGGCTGGAACTCTGCAGACCTTTTCTGTTTTCAGCTGCTTTCGGTTAGGCTCTGCCAGCAGAGGGTGTAAGAGGGAGATTGTGAGGCCAGAGGAAAAAGAAGGGACTTGATCCTTCCCGTGGGCTTCCAGCTTTCCTCCTGCCTTCTTTTGTCTCTGTGAGCATCAGCCCAGCGGCATTTCTTCATCAGGCAGCTGCAGTTTCCTCTTACAGTTTATCTAAAACTGATATGCAGCTTTTCTAAAACTTAGAGAAAAAGATTGATCATGTGCAACTCCCCCCATTCCCCCAACATAAGCACCAGGCAAGTGGCATCCCCTCTACAGAGGTCTGGTCCCCCATGGGATCACTTTTCTATATTTCTGAGTTTTAAAAACCTCTTCCTTGTTTCCCCAACTCTAGAAGGAGTAGCTACTTCCTGTAGTTATCATCTGTATGATATTTTAGTGTTCTCTTTTATCCTAGTTTTCAATTCTTTTCTTTCTTTTTTGGGGGGAAGGGGGGTCAGAGCCTCACTCTCACCCAGGCTGGAGTGCAGTGGCATGCTCATAATTATCATAGTCTTGACCTGCTGAGCCCAGGTGATCCTTCCGCTTCAGCCTTCCAAGTAGCTGGAACCACAGGCAAGCACCACCACATCCAACTAATTTTTTTGATTTATTGTACAGATGAGGTCTCGCTAAGTTGTCCAAGCTGGTCTTGAACCCCAGGCTTAGGCAATCCTCTTGCTTCCACCTCTCAAAGTGTGGGTTACAGGTGTGCACCGCTGTGCCTGGTGCTAGTTTTCAATTCTTTGTGTTAAATTCTCTTGGTCTGAATGGCTGATATAAAAACAAATAAAAACAAAGTCAAATGGTTGCTATGCTTTCTGCCTTCTTCCTAACATACACTAATAGAATTCATCTTACTGATTTTTTTAATTAGCAGACAATTTAGTTATATCTTAACTGCATATACTATTTAGTATATACTATTATCATTTAGAAAAGAATATACTAAAAATGAATCATAACATATCTATAATAAACATTAACTAAGTTTAGCTCTGTGAAAAACTTGCTGCATTGCCCTTATTTTTTCATTTTGTTTCAGACTGGTGAAAACTTCATCAGAGCTTCACTGGTCTGTGAAGAGCCATTTGGAAACTGCCTGAGCACAAAGGATTAGCCTTTAAATTAAAATGTTTCAATTCAGCCCAGACTCACAAGTTTAGGTGATATAATTGACATTTCTGAGCTCCAAATCAAGTCAAATTAAGTTTTGAATTTGCTTTTGAAAGACAGAATATAAATGCCAATCATAAAAATTCAGTTTGAGGTGGTTAATTTGAACATTTCTGAGATCAGTAATGTTCTTTTGGTATCTTTCTTCCTTACAGAACTTTTAAATTTATGATAGACATTTTCAATTTGGTCTCAAAAATTTATTTTCTTTCTCACTGATATACCAAATGATTTCTCACTGATATACCAAAAATTTACTTACTTTTTTTTTTTTTTTTTTTG